CGCAACAGTGCATGTTACCACGAGTTACAGCCCGGACTCAGCTAAAGATGACTTCTACCGTCAACTATCCTACCTACTCCATAAGAATCATTACTAATATATGGTAGTTCTCATCGGAGCTCTCAGCACACCGGTTGGTAGGCTGGAAGCTTTGGAACAAGATGTCGGTAGTCTGGATTGCAATGATATTCGCGTGAGGGCTTAAGAACGCAAAAGAAAAGCATCAACAGTATTTCATTACGCAGTACGGACATCATGCTGCCATACAAACACCATCGGTTGCATGTGGATTAAGGAGGCTTCTAGAGTCGCCCGGTCCCGGCCCAGGCTCCAACCAGCGTTGTCAGATTACGAGACAATGTGATTACATTCAGGCTACGGCATTGAGGAGGTCGAGCGCCACAGATCTCTGCTGCTCACGGTCGTGGATACAGACTGACCACATGGTGATCGATTACCATTGACTAGGCTATTGATGGGACAACCGATCAAGTTGAAGTACTAAACTCACTTCTGATCACGCGCTTGTATGTACTAGAATCGTTACAGGTTCCGGCCCTCCCCCACTCAGAAGGGAGTATAAACAGGTCAGTTGCAGATTCCTTGTCCGCTGTGCGGTCACATTTTAATCTGACTACAGAATCCACCTTTTCTGGTGAAGTTATTGGTGTGATACGCTTCACTTGCACAAGTAGAAATGAGTTACAGCCGAACCGCGACTTCTTAACGTGCTTTCGGTTATTGGTCAAACGACGGAAAGACCTGCCTGCTAGTTATGAAATGAGCAGACGTAACTGAAGAGTGATGCGCGTTGCCTAACCGCATTCATCATACTTGCCCCACTGGATTCACCTAGCATCATTATCCTATGGTGTGTTCCGATGCTGGTGACAATCTTAACTGAAATGTGGACTCCCTGCAGTGTCCTTTCGAACACTAGGTTTGTGTGGTGGGGTCGTTATCAACCACATTCGATCTGGAGGTTGCGTTACATCGTCCGCTTCCATCTACCTTACAGATTTAGTTAACACCACTGAGGAAACCGAGATTACGAGTCTAACGGGTGTGCTGCAAGAGGGAACGAAATACCATCAGTTGTATCCCTGTGTTCCTTTCCCCTGGAGGCCAGGGTGGTATACACCTCCTCACGGATTAACACTTGGCTCCCCAGCCTATGTGGTTCGTACACTTCACAGACCGTAGCCATTATGTAACACAAGTCACTGTAGGGGGACAGCTATGTTTCATGACCACAAGGAAAAATCACCTGCACACTAGGGTCTTGCAGCGATGACGAATAGGCAACGCCGACAGGCAGATGACTGACCACAAACAGCTGACCAGCTTTGGTCCAATGAGACAGCCAGTTTCGCGAGATGGGATAGAGGCAAACGGTTGACCCTAATACAGGCTATTTGGGGGGGGGGGGGGGAACATGAGAGGTGGAGAAATAAATTATCAGTAATACTGTGAACGTGCAGTTTACCGAAAAGCGATGGCACGAATAGGACCGTATGCTCACCATTCCAAGGAAGTGAAGCGCAGTATATTGAAAACGTATGAGGAGGGAGCGGATTGGAAGCAGGTTGCTGGTGTGCTTAAAGTGAATGTGAAAACCTGCTGCAACCAATTCGAACAGAAATAGCATCTTCCGTATACCGCACTCCACGTAATTTAGCTATCTCAGCTATTTGAATGGCAGAGAGTGCTGGTTATGTGCCCATTTCCTTGCGAATACTGGATCATTTCAAACAGGTGAAGCACACTGAAATGGGACTGAAGTTGGTTCTCACAATTTATTACGCAAGGTTGATGTCCCAGGCTACGATGGTTGCACTTCGTGTGTCCAACATAGCAACTGATGCACTACTCTTTAATACTATGTGCTAGGAAGGAAATCTCTGGACAAGTAGCCGAGGCGCCGATCGCCCATGGCCGGGGTGAGCCGAAACTCGCCCTCATGGATTGGACGAATACGTAGGCAACTGGATGAACCGGCCAATTAGCACGATAGAGGCATTGCCTGATCGGTCGTAAGTTGGCCCTACTAGATGTTTCCACACGAGCTTTATAGACTGTTCACGAATGTTCCGTTTGACTCTTATATTGGACAGTGTGATCAGGCAATACATCTCGCTCCGTGTCTGCTCGTCCGAAACCGGTCTTTCCTGTTTCCTGTGGGGGCCAGCGATCTGGAGTTCCGAACAATAACCAACCGTCAATTCAGGCGAGGGACGACCACCACACCAAGCGAAAATGAATTGTCTGCGTGTCAGTTTGAAGCTTTGGCCCAAGCTGTAGTAGTATTAGTATTAGTAGTGGTACTAGTATTAACTAGATAAATAAATGGTTTATTCTCAACTAAGCGAGGCCCGCCTGCATAAGCATGATCATATTCAGAGTAGAGAATGTGATCAGTTAATGTACAGTGGAACAATGGAATTGTCACATAGGCTGATATATCAACGTATGTAACTGTGCAGGTAGGCGTGATTAGGTGTGTTTATGGGATTTGTAAATGCTTTCCTACCATTTTACTCGCGCTTCAAAGTGTCCCCGGTGCTAACTGGATGCTCGATGTCTGTGGACTTGGAGCGGTTGTCTGGATAATCAATGGGTGACTTTATTTGGTGGCTAGTCACAACCGCCACTTCACAGTATTGTTAAATGGATATTTGTGGCTTTTTATAGGGAGAACGCTTGTTAGATGAAAACCCACCACGTAGTGGAACACTGCCGCCGAACTATTTGCTGGAACGGAGTAAACCCGAACCAGCCAGCTGACACGACGAGCAGGTTGTTCGGCTAGCCAGATAGTATTCTTATTATTCTGACTATATTGATAAGTAATATAATATTCTTATTATTAATGATAGGAGTCTTTGATCGGAATGGCCGAGGTCCACATCGAGTGAACCGAGGTCTCAATTGAGGTTGCTTGTAGCAACCCAGCCACCAGCGGATTCTCCAAATTCAACTTTGCAATCTTTTCTGCTGGACCAAGCGTTGCTCGTGGATCTCAGTGGCATAGTGCTTATGGCGTCAACCATGAGCCACTAGGCTCTGAGTTCCAGCCCAACTCAGGCTATCTCCAACTGATGAGTCCCAACAGGACGAAACCGCGGTCTTGGGGTGCCGGTGTTGGGATGAGCAACACTATAATTTTCATGTAGGAATCTCGTTGGATTTAGTGTTCCCCCGAAGTTTCGGAGTTATGCGCTTTGGTTGACACAAGACAAAAAAATCCAAATTCCCATCGTCTGCATACATGGTCGATCTATCAGCTGGTTGGTCACTGAATTTTGCTATTCACCAGAAGTGAACATTCTGCGCGACTGTTAACCACTTTGGGTTCAATTCACCTTAACCTATCGGTTTCCCAGGAGATAGAACAACATGGCGGCCTGCCAATTTTGCATATCCTCATCAAGAGATGGGATGGAGGTACACTGCAGCGCACAGTTTGCCGCAAGGCGACCTGGAGTGGGCAGTACCTTCACTTTTCCAGTTTCGCCCCGGTTGCATACAAACGTGGTCCAGTGAAGACATTTTCTACAGGGCTAGACGAATTTGTAGTCCGGAATTGCTGGAAACTGAAGAAAACCTGCTGTATAGGACCTTAGTATCGAATGGTTATCCGGAAAAGCTCATCCAAGTGTACAGCGAACTCCCCAAGAAGAAACTGCTAGTGCAAACGGCAGAGAAAACGCTGTCCATTTGGTTCGGCCGTTCAAAGGGGAATATGTGGCAAATGAAATCGGAAACAAACTCAGGTCCGCCCTAAATCGCACATACACGACTGCCCAGTTGCGCCTCATGCACACTACCCGGAAACTGGTTCTTCATGATCGTCAGAGCAACCATTCGGCTAGTTCACCCTCTCATATGGTTTATCAATTCACCTGCAGTTGCGGTGATGTTTACATAGACAAGACTAACCGTCGCTTGGCTCAGAGAGTGGCTGAGCACTTGCCAAAGTGTGTCGAACAAATGATAGCGCAACGGAACGGAACGCGCCACAGAACAAATCGGAGTCCGTCATTATCTATCGCCAAACACCTCTTGACAACTGGTCACCATGTGAACCCCACTGATGTGTTCAAGGTGTTATTACGTAACAGGACCAAGATAATGTTGGCAATCAGTGAAACGTTGCTAATTAGCGCTTATCAACCTGTGTTATGTGCACAGAAACTCTGGAGGCGATCAATCAGATTGCCTTGGTCTTCATTTTGACGGTTTCATTGGTGTGCCAATTTTCTCCCATGTGTATATTTGTGTCTGCGTTTCTGCTTGTATTGTGTTTGCGACTGAGGAGAACAATCGAAATGTTGACATATCGCAATCTATGTCCTATGCTTTGACGAATTAGATGAATGGAAACAAATGTTTTACGGTCACAGAATTACCAAATCCCGTTTTTGCTGCAACCAGCCCCACGAATGAAAACACACTACCTGTCGTTTACACAGTACGGTAGCAGCTTAACCTTGCGAAGCCAGTACGGAACGTAATCTATCACTGTTGCAATCGGTGGATTCACGAGAATAATGGAAAACAACAGAGGTTACACTCACGGTGTAGCGACCAGGAGATTCCCCCGTATGACTGTGTAAACTATTCTAAAATATTCAAATTATAGCTTTCTTATATATTAGGGAACCATTCGGCTTGCCTGTTGGAACGTTGTTCCCGTTTGTTGGAAACATAAACACGATCTCCGCCTTTGGCGCGCGGCTCGACTGTGAACTACGCTCCGTCTACGCTCTCGACGACAACGACATTCTCCCTAGCTAGCTCTCTCCGGGTGCCCTATTTTTAGCATTAGCTAACGCTACTCTCGTCCAATAAACTTCTTCCCTACTCTACTTTTGTGTCTTCTACCCACTACTTTTGGTTGGTCGTCTAGTCGCGTACCGGACATATAGCGCACGATCCACGCGCTATAACGGTAGGTCGACGAAAACAATCTCTCTGAGCCCTCTCAGATGAGCGAGGACATCCTTGACTGCGTCCAATTCTGATTCGTGTCTCACTTGGCCACCCAAATCCAACATGTTCAAGTTCTCGAATCTCTTCAAATGCCGCAGCGTGTCTGCCACAGATTTATCTCCGGTCTTCCCCCGAAGTTGCTGTTGTGGTAAGCTCAATCGGAGCATATATGTAGGATCCACATTGAGCAGAACCGAAGCTAGAGCTCTCGGAGACTTAATTATGCAACCGAAAATGGGGGGACGTAGAGCAAGTTCCACGAGAGGAAATCCAGCCGCTGAAAAGTGTCATCCAGAATAGTGGCTTCATCATTACGAATAAAAGTTTTCTTATCGGTAAAGTCTTCACAATTCTATACCACTCACCCAACATCACATTTACGTGAGCAGCTCATGATGTTTTTTCAGACAACTGGCGGCTTGATGAGTGAATTTATGCATCCTAAGGCAACCCCATCCTTCGCAGGGCACTGAGATGAGTTGTAGTAGAGGATGGGATGCACTAGGTCTCAATTGACCACGTAGGCAGCAGCAGTCATCCATGACCCAGTGCCATAATCAACTGGCAAGTACGACTTGCTTCGAATCCCGAGAGGGATTGTGCGCTTCTCGTTGTCGTGGAACTCGGTTTTCCCGAAACAAACTATCCATTCAACAAAGCAGTCTCGGCTAGAATGACAGCATAACTAGCATGTAGAAGCTCTGATGTATACTATAACTAGATCACTTCCACCAGATTCTTCGTTTGTTTCAGTCAAGCAAACTCATTCCAACGCAGTCAAATATTAACCAGTCAGCGGAGGTGCATAGACGTCCAATCATCTGCTCCGTTCGTTTGCGGCAATCGAGCCGCTTGATTGGTCACGTAACTCGTTCTCGTCACTCTGATTACATACTACATAACACTCGTGAGTCCCAAAATAGGGCAAAATGGTCTTCCACTGCGTTCTCGGACAATGATGACCAAATTTGGCTGCGATCACGCCACGTACACGCGACCGAGTGTAATCTGCTGATCCGACTAAACAACGAGTAGCTCGGCATAACATTTGCTATGTGCCGAAACTAAAATCCTTGCGCCGTGCCATGAGTCTCTCTATCGCAATGTTCGGTGGCTTAGTCCACATGCACTGGCCACAATGTCCCATACTATCTCTACTTGAGAAGCTCGTTCAATGGGGGCACTGCTCTTTGAGTGCAGCATTCAATGTGAACGGTCACAAAAGCATGTCTACGTCAGACGCGGATTTCACACAAATGGGATGATCGGGGCTAACTTCATAGTAGATCTTGATCCAGCACTGTAACACGCATACTTAAGCCAAGCCGGTCAGCAAACAAAAGCTCACAGATGGAACAAGTCTGCCATCAGAACGTCTCAAAAGTCTAACCTCGAAATGCGTCACCGAGGACAACTGTGCTGCAATTGTATCTGGGTACCTGCGCGTTTTAGTTTTCGAAGCAGGTTTATTCAACAAGGCACGTGGTTCATTTCTGACCCCCAAGGTGTTGTGCTTGCTAGCCTTTCTGTTGGGACTATTCCGGTGATAGCTGGCACATCGGCTGAGCTAAACCGGTGTTGGACCAGTGGATGCGTATGAAACACAAGAGTTGCGATGGGCTATTCGTTGTGGCAGTGACATCCACCGAATGTATTAGACCTGGCTACTCCACTCATTCGAAAATACCTTCACAAATGTCACATAGTGCGCTCTTGCTCACAGTCTTCGCGGACCACTGTTTCGGCATTCCTCTCCGGTGCGCCTCCATCTGCGGCTTTTGTGCATTTGCCTTTCAGACGGATGTTGGTCTGTTCCATAGTTGACTCGTTACCATCCATACTGCCCGTTCCACCTATACTACTGGCTCCCAACGCATTGGTACTTACTCTTGGCGCACCGCCCACTTGAGCTGACCATGACTGCACGGGCCGGATGGACGGGGCATAATTGGTCCGATCCAACGCAGTACGTGTGCAGCGTGGTCCCAGACAAAGCAGGAGCAAACAGGTCCGACCATTGGTGAGCGAACTACACATGCGCGTCAGCGAACTCAGGTTGAGTGCACCGGGTGCGGTGGTGGCGTGTTAGCTGGGCAAACGGAACAGATGTTGATCCGGTACACGGACAGCCAACCAAACTGACCATAATGGCCTACGTTGGAAGAACAGTCCTGAATGAGTGCTGCTCAGCATGAACGAAGGTCAACGTGGATTGGACGGAGTAGCAGCGAACGCGCACTAATGAACTCAAGCAGATATTATAGCATAAGCAACAACAACAAGGACTAGCCAACAAAATGCGCTAAGTTGGGATAGCGATTCAACTCGCTATATGGGACTTTTATTGGTGAATAGCACATTTTCGAACGCTGTTCGGCCTTTATTGCGGTTCCCTGATTGATGCACTATTGACATCTATAAAATTTAACTAGTTTTATATTTGGCACTGCCGGGTACCATGTAGACAAACGGTTGCAGTAGTCATCCCACGGTGAAGCAAGATCACAAGAAGATTGCTGGTTGTCCCAAGTGTCTTGTCCGAGATATTCCATTGCTATACTAGATGCTTTATGCTACGAGACTCTTAGAATAGTGCGAGGAGGTATCACCTAAGATCGTCAGGTAAAATCAAATACACCACTGATGATCCACACTTCTGTTTCTCTCGAATCGTGCTACCGAAAGGGCATAAATGACTGTACTTCTGTGGTAGGATTTCTTCATTGAGCAAACGGAGAGTACGGGTACGATCTAAAATTCGTGTAATCGGTAAAATCCGATTTTCATATGCGTTTGTGTGGATTGACGAGGAGAGCTGCTCACTTCGACCGAGTCGAGTCTGCATTGATTCTGGAATGAGCGATCATTGGAAATTGTCCATCACTTTACTTGTCTCAACAGCGGTATCTCCTCATTGAGTTAGCGAACAACCAGTCAGAATCCAATCACAGGTGGTGATAGTGCAGCACTACAGTGTCTTCAAATGGACCAATGTAATGTGTTAATTGCTATTGAAGACATTGAGATTCTGCTTGATTTCGATGGTGGTATCAGCTGTGTGATTCTCGACTGATGCATCCGTCGGGCGAGCAACCTTCAAGTGCCACCATGTTGGTCTTTGGCAACAAACATCGGACTATCCTTAACGCGTGTACCGACCACGTCGGAAAAGTCATATTCCCGCTGTGTCCTCCGTTCAACACTTTTGCACACCACAAATTCAAATACAGCACTGGTCTGTGAATTTCCACACTGTTTCGCATCTGTTTGTGCTTTCCCAGTCATCTAGTTGAAGTCCACTAGGCTTGAATCCATTGCCACTGTGTCCATTGGGGATCCCGTTCTCCGTTTGTGCGAGTTCAGTATACAGCACACCTGCCAATGCGTGTGCGATGAGGCCTCTGCTGAACTTGTTGTCATTGCATACAATCAAAGGAACGAGACGGATTTACGTAACGAAAGAAGCGACTAGATTGCCGCAAGCAAACGGAACAGATTGGACGCCTATGTCTCTACGCTGACTGGTTAATCTTTGGCTGCGCCGGAGTGAGTTCACTTGATTGAATCAACTAAAATTTCTCATGAATGCAGAACCGTCGTTAGTTATGGAAGCCAACTCAATATATTAGTCATACTGTCATTTTCGTTAAGATTGATTCGTTGCATAACACGTTTGTCCCTGAAGGACGGAGTTCCGCGACACCATTCTTCACCATCTTCTAGGCTACATGCTGTAGTGACCAAGGTGGCAGGTTACCAAAGAAGCAATAGTTGTTTTCGACGCAATAATCTGCGACACGATTCCCTATCCAAACTGAGTGAAAGAATGCATAATATAGATTACAAATGGTGTGAAAGGTTATCTGATCTTTCGCGATTGCTGTCCTGCCTGAGTCACACGTTAACGCTGTCATTACAGTCGAGAAGAGTCATTCCCTGTCACCAAAATGACAAGGTTTTGTTGATAGACAGACGGTTTTCTTCACTAACTTACCCACTGAATCTTTATGACTACAACATCGTCCTAACACTATCGATCGGAAGAATTGTTCATCAGCTCCTGGAGGCGAGAAGACGGGGCGTTATTGATTGGTTCACTCCGAGGCACCCCCCACTGCAATCTGATGCGCCACAAGATTTAGTCCTAATTGTCAACACTAAAGCTGTCGCATAATTCTTCTTGGAACTTCACTGAGAATTTACTACGGTAATTGCATTAATGAACGAATGAAATGAGTGCTCGAATATCTTTCCCGTCAATTGTTCCATCCAATGGAACAGGCTCCCAACTGCGATCAGATGATTTGAGGATGCGTCAACATTTTAATGAACTTCACAACCTATTTAGCACGGGAACAGCTATAGCCACATCACTAAGCCCACCAGATTCAGGGGAACTAACAGGCCATCCATATTGGACCAAATATTCACTAATGAAGAACTGCTGATCGAGAGAGTGATAACCGATACTCCGTTGGGCCGCAGTGATCATGCAACGCTAGTGTTTCGTTACATGTGCTACGCGGATTATCCTAAAGCGCATGCCGACGAAAATCATGTCGTAATTAAGTATGACGACCTGACCGACATACATGATGCAACAAGCTGGTCGTTCTTAGCAGAATTATTCCCCGAGGTGGCCTGCGGAGAATTCGTCAACATATTTACCAAGCTCGTGGCAAGGACATCTGAAACCAAACTCTGCCGGCCTAAAAGGATGAAGTATTTCTTAAGGAGTGGCACACGTAAATACATGGCATTAAGGGACTTGGCATGGCACACCTACATATACTCCCCGAACGGCCATAATACAAAGAAGCAACTGTGTCAAACTCGTCCGGGCGGATAAATAAAAGAACCAACAAGATGCAGTGGAAAAGTTTTGCTCCAATCCCAAACTGTTATACAGACACGTAACCAATTTGCGTCGTGTTAAGCGCGGTATTCCTGCTCTGCGCGCAGCATGCGGGTTAGCCCAAACTGCACAAGAGTCGGTCAACGTTTTTGGACAACAATTTGGCCGTACTTTCCAAAGCGTGCAATCATCAAACATCCTGCCTAAGCAGATAACGCCGCCATCAGGGCTTAATCACATATCGTTCGCCTCCGTAGCTGTATTGAAGAGACTGATGTCTCTGCGCGAGTTCAGCTCCCTGGGTGCGGACTGCATTCACCCGAATGCGTTGAAAGTTGCCTCCATGAGTTTGGCAGGACCACTAGCAATTTTC